GGCTCCCTGGGTATATAAGAATGCCGTGAGTCGCGGGAAAAATTGCTGATATTATCTATAAATATTATAAAAGTTAACTTAGTTTACGAGGTTACGTAAGTAATCGTTAAATTTACTATTTAAGCGGTCTTCGTCGTACGATTTTAGCTTCTTTAGTTTAGATTCGCCGCCGCGATTTACGCGCTAACCGACGTTATCTTACGTTATTACGAGATTTTCTAAAGCTATAGCTAAATAATCTATATATTGTGGAATATCGCTCTCTAAAGGTTTATATTAAACCTTAAGTCACGTGACTAAATACGATTTAACTTCGTATTTAGACTAAGGATCTATGAAATCACGTGACTAGTACGGTATTAATTTCGTACTCTATTAAATGATTGATCGTACTTACTAATGTTAATTTGAAATCAACATTTTAAGGGTCTTAACTATGGACACTCATTATCTATATAAAGACCTTTATTCTCCCTAGGTAGATAGTTATCTTTAAGTTCTTTAATAGTCAGTTACCTACCTATAAGGTTTACGATCTATATGAGCCTTACTATCTATACATTAGATAGTTCTCTAAGTCCTCTGAACATATATAATTAACTATTAATTTAGACTTATGCTAAAGTTTATAGAATAATAGTTTAGTTAAATTAAGTAAATTAAATATTATCGTCTATAATTATAAGTAGTTATAATTATTTATAATTATTCGAGATATTTAATAATAAGTAATTCTTCATATAGATATCTATTTCTTAATATCTTTTCATTTCTTATCCTAAACTTCGATCTTTAAACGCCGAATATCTTAACGTCTCGTAAGTTTTCGTAAAAATTTTAATTATCGTAGTTATAAATAGATATCTTATTTCTCGGTTTATAGCGTTATCGTCCTTAATTAGCTAGCGATTCTTCGGGCGATTTATAGATAAGTTCGATAAATATTGTAACAGAGCACTTTAGGGTTCGACGTGCACGTGCAACAACGCACAGAGGCCTGTCCAGTAGATCGGGAATCGAGAACGCGTTTCTGGTTGATACTGATAAAACAACACCACCAACACCACCCAGAGGGGCAGCGGCTAGGGCTACGAATGCCTAGCACGGCGGCAGTAGCGAGGAACAGGACAGAACTGATAAAACACTCAGGAATCAGGTAGACAGCGCCAAAAAGCCATGGAATTCATGATACTCTGCTCAACTGTTTAATCTGTAATGAATGGCACCTCTGCCAGCACTGTAAACTGTTCCGCACCCCCTTCTCTACCAGCCCATTTAGGTTTGACATGTGACCTGACAGATCTCTGCCTGCCACCGCTCTATCAGCCCAGCACAGTCCATCACAGCATAGCCACCTCGCCTTGTTACAATATAAGCTTTTTCTTTTTTAACTAGTCTCCGTTTTAGCGTACGATTCTTCGATAATTTAAGTCGATTTTTTAGCTTCATTACTACTACTTAAGTAGACTTTTCGTATACTTTTTATTCGGAGAACTCGGAGAACTATCTAATATATAGATTATAAGGCTTATATAAATCGTAAATCTTATAGGTAGATAATTAACTATTAAAGAACTTAAAGATAACTATCTACCTAGAGAGAGTAAAGATCTTTATATAGATAACGAGTATCTATAGTTAAGACTCTTAAAATATTAATTTTAAATTAATATTAGTAAGTACTAAACTAGGGCGAGGCTACTAGCTATAAGCATTAACTCGTACGGCGGTGAGATAGCCTCTTCACAGCACGCACACTCAACCAAAGAAAGTTCTTCCGTTCGTAACTTAATTAATTATTCTATGAATGATAGTTCCCGAGGACTATATAAAAAGAATCTTAGTCTAGTGTCGACGCCTTAGCTAATCATAAAGTTATCCCTCACTTTAAACTTCTTTCATTATATTTCTCTCATTATCGCTCGCTTCCTTAACGATCTCGCTTAAGACTTAACTATAATCTTCGCTTATTCTCTTAGAAATATTAACTCTTCTTTATACTCTTTAAACGCTTTATAAAGTTATTTAATTATCTTCTATTTAACTTCTTCGGACTTACGCTCTTTAACGTCTTTAGACCTTCACTACGCTTCGGTTCTCGTATAACTATCTTATAAATCTCTAAGACGATAGTGAAACGATTCTCGATATTAACTTAAGTATTAAATAAAATAATTTATAAGTGAGTCGTCTCGTAAGTTTTCGTATTAATAATCGCTAAAGAATTCTTAATTACTTAGAGCTTATAGTTACTAATATTCTACTAAAGATTAGATTTTAGCCGTATTTTCCGGGGTAAAATATTAAAAACGCTATTTCTTAATTACTAAACGAAGAAATTAAGTATTATCTTAGTCGTATTTAATTTATCTTATATAAAATTAATAACTAAGTATAACTATATTATCTTATCGACTATAAAGATTAGCTAATAATATTCTTTATTTATTAAGTCATTATTAAAGATAATAAGTCGTCTTATACTATCGTTAATATTTCTTTAAGTTTTAAATTTTATCGGTACGTTTACGTTTCTATATTAGTTAATCTAGAAAAGAAAGACGGCGTCTAAGATAACGATATATTTTATATATAATTCTTTCTAACTTACTATAATTTTTATATTAATAAAAGATTTATTAACTTATTCGTTATATTTAGAGCTTAGTAAAGCGCTTCGAAGAGTATTACTTAAGATATCGATAGCTTTATAGTCGAAATAACTAAATAGAACTTTATAATTTATAGTTCTAAATTTTTCTTTCTATTACTTTATTAATTATTCGAGATTCTTTATAAAATCTTTATAAGGCGCGGCGATTCTTTTTAATTCTTCTAAATATAAAGCGATTTCTTTTTTTAGCTATATATAAATAAATAAATATATATCGTTTAGATATATATTTAGTAAGTAAGCTTAATACGTTAATTATTTTTTTAGCTTTAAATTCGTAATATCGTTATATATCTTTATAACTAACTAAGAGTAAATTCTTTTTATAATTCGTTTATCTTATATACTTCTAAATTATTAATTACGCGAATACGATAAAGCTTTTAAAATTTAAAATTAAATTCGATAAGTTATTAAATATATTTCTTCCGAGAGAGTATAGTAATAAAACGACTTTAGAAGAATTAGTAATATTATAATAGAGTACTTTAGGATTTAGCGTATACGTATAATAACGTATAGAGATCTATCTAGTAGATCGGGAATCGAGAACGCGTTTCTAGTTAATACTGATAATGTAATAGAGCACTTCAGAGTTCGACGTGCACGTGCAACAACGCACAGAGGCCTATTCAGCAGATCGGGAATCGAGAACGCGGTTCTAGTTGATACTAATAAGACAACACCACCACTAACACCATCCAGAAGGGCAGCGGCTAGGGCTACGAATACCTAGCACAGCGGTAGTATCGAGGAATAGGACAGAACTAATAAAACACTTAAGAATAGAGGTAGACGACGCCAAAAGCTATAGAATTCATAATACTCTGCTTAATCTATAATAAATGGTACACTACCAGCACTGTAAACTGTTCTGCACCCCCCTCTCTACCAGCCTCTTTAGATTTAATATATAACTAAATAACTTTTTTCACTCTATTACCGCTCTACTAGCTTAGTACAGCTCATTATAGTATAGCTACCTCGCCTTATTACATTCCTTCCTCTTCCATTCATAGAACGACCTCGTCCGATAGTATATAGTACGCTTAAGAATTATCTAACTCTATTATTACTTAGAGAATAGATCCGCAGCACTATAAGAAGAAGCTCGCAACGAAGGTAGATTCTTCTCTCTTATTAAGTCTAGAATACGAATTAGAATATTACTAGTAAATATAA